ACTGTAGGAGAAGATTCAACCATTTTATATTTGCTCATTACGTGAAACATTAAATAAATGATAAAAGAGAGACGACACTAAAATATTGCAAGAGCGAATTTGTAAACTCAGTTAGTACATTTACGGGGTACTAAACAAACTTCTTCTACTACATGCAACAACATATGTGACATATACATAAGCAAGTGTCCATAAATTGCTAAGGTGAAAAGGGTCGAATGTTGTATTGACGGCCAACTAAAAAAATTGGTCAAAACATTTTCATCGTCTACTTCCTTTTTCGTTTCACCCTATTTTTATTTCTTTCTATGCCTTGTTCGTCTAACCCTAATTAGAATACTATATTTATGTATTCTAATCAAAAGTATGAAGGGTCCATACATGACTCACCAACAGCGTAGAGAATTAATAATTAAACCATGAACAACTAACTTTTTCAGCTCAATGTTGAGTGAAATTAAAAATAAATAAATATGGTTATTACTTATTAGAAAGTCGTCATTTTCCACTATGAGATTTGAAGGCGTGAAATTTTAAGCGAGTTCCAGTTTGTATTCCTTTTACTTCTCTCTAGAGTTTTTCATTTTCACCCGACTTAGAATTTTCAATAATTATACATGGAATGTTTGGCTAGGTATCTACACATATCAAATAAACAGTTTCCATTTTTCTATAAAAAAGTAAATAATTATCATTTAAATACATCACCATAACAGGAATTAAGTCTCAACTATGCAAATTACAGTTTGGTACTAAACTTAATAGATCTTTATATTTATAACCTAAACTTATTTTTTGGCATATAAGTCCTCAAAATATTGATGGAACATTATATTTTAGTACCTAAAGTTTTTGGGTATTATATTTTGGTACCTAAACTTTTGAAGTTCTACAAATAGGTCTAATTTTTGTATGTGTAATTAAAACACCATCGAATAAATGGGTATCCATACCCAACTTATATACATTTAGATTATGGAAATAAATATCCATACCCTAACCAAACCCATCTACAAACTTCCAAACTCATATATACGTCACCCATACCTTACCCATAATCAATGAGTCTACTTGGGTTTAGATAAATTTCATTTATTAAAAGGCTAATAATACTAACACAACACCATAACGGACCACATAATACATGCTCATAGTCCATCTCCGTCCCCGACAAGGCACGACATAACTACCTAGTTATATTATATATGACGATAAAATGCTCATGTATCTTCTTTTCTTGTTTATATATGAAGATCAACAATTGGGGAATGATATCACTTGATTGATGATTGATGCATGATGATTATTGGTGTTGGTGTTGGACTCTGCTGAAATTTTACTGTTGGAGTATGCTAGGATTTACTGGAATTTTGCTGCTGGAAATCAACTTATCTACTTTTGTTAGCTGCTGGCCTGCTGCAAGTCTGCTGGAATGAATTGGAATGTTACGAGAATTTTTCTTGGATTTACTTGAATTTTGCTATTGGATTTTTTTCTGATGATTATCTACTTATTTGGTGAAATTTTTCCTTGAATAAGCTAGAATGTTTCTGGGATTTGCTGGAATTTTTTTGGTGGATTTTTATGTTGGAATTATTTCTAGAACTTCCGAATTCTTACTTTGAACTTGGTTTACATATTAAACATTTGATTATTTGGTGTTATGTTAATTGTCACATTGGCTATTTGGTTTAACTGTCATGAAGTATTTGGTTTGATGAAACAATTAGGAAACAAAGAAGAGTTGGGATCTCGGAGTGTATTCATGTGCCTTTCGGATATTACCCTATACTCGTTCAGATTAAAATTTACTATCCATGTTCCTACTTCGGGCGAGTTTCGGTATACTCGAATATCTTGTGGAGCGGGAATCAAATAGCCATTATCTGTACCCACCCCGACCCATTGTCCAACCTAATTTCCATCTTCTACAAACCCCTACTCCGTACTCCGTTTTAGCTAAGCCTTCCCATTTAATGAGAAAAATAAACTCATCCACGTTCAAAATTTGGCCAGCCCAAAGTTATAAATACATGCCCACCTAAAATTGACTGCAGCTGAACCCAAAACCCCTCCGTGAACAGTAAATCCCGAAAATTTCTTATGAAACAGTGATTATGCGTGTATTTACTTGGGATTTAATAATTCTCATCGCTCGTACTTTAGATGCATTGTAGAAAGGTTGTACTTGATATTATTTTCTATAGTATAATACTATAGTTAATGTGGTTATTTTTTTAGAAATATGAGATTTTTTTTTTTTGTGATTCGATTCCTTTATACCGAGAAGAGAAAGGGCCCGGATACAATAACAACACTCTTGGTGTTGTTATCGTAACAACTGGGGTAAAAAGGGTAAACTACAAAAATATAACAAATTAAAATTAATAAATAAATTTGCAATCCCCAGCTTCCCTATCTCCGTCTCTCGATCTCCTTCTCCTCCCATATCCCCGTCGGCTGCTTCTCTCTCGTACTCTCTCCTCCGCCACCGACAAGATCGGCTCCGACGGTAGATGGATCCCATAAGCCATTCAATCTGCTTTTAGGCCTCCACCGTCATATCATCTCAAATCTCCTAGCCTCCCTCCTCCACCTTCTTGAAGCCACTAATGGAGATTTTGGCGACAGAGCAAGATCTGAAATTTTAGATCGGAGTCGCGATGCGTCTGGCGGCAGCGATTGAAGCAACGTGGATTCAGCGTCGTTCAGCTTGCATTGAGGCCTGCAGTTAAGGGGTGAGGAAGAGGCCGTGGGGGAAGTACGCGGCAGAGAGAAGGGACTCCACGAGGAACGACGACCGGGTGTGACTGAGCACGTTCGACAACGCCGAGGAAGCCGTCCTGGTATTCGCCCTGCGCTGGAGCATGGCGGTGCTCAATTTCCCGCCGCCAGATCTGAGGCGAATCGCCAGCGGTCTACGTGCGCCGCCGACCAAGCAGTTGGGGGAAAATCGGGTCCCGCAATTCGCCAAACAGGCAATGGACCTTCAATCTCTCCGATGTCGTTCCCTTTTTGCATCTGGGCTTCACGAACCGGTCGAAATCGGTGGAAAAATCCGTAGATCTCCGCCACCGCGGCCGCTGCTCAGTGAAAGAAGAAGAAGAATGCGTCGCTTTTACTCCCCAACTTAAACACCTCTTCCAGTCTTCCACTTTTGTCCTCTTTCTCCCTCCCCTATTCCCTCGCTCTTTCCTATATGATCAAATTGCACCTTTGGTGCTCGAATTCCATACCTATTATCAAACTCATCCCTCAAATGTCAATTTGTTGGGACATTATGTCCTGTAAATAATATTTGTCCTGTAAATAATAATTCCATTCATCTAGTAAGAACGTCGGATAGAATAACAAACCTTACAAAGCATACCACAATTATTTCGAAAGTATACCAGAAACCTCCTAATGCATATCATAAATTGACTAAAACATACCAGAAACACGGTAAAACAAACCATAAATATTTCTAAAGCACACCAGAAACCCCCTAATACAAACCACAAACACGGTGAAGCAAACCAAAAACGTCCTAATGCAGACCACAAATATATTAAAACAAACCAGAAATCTCGCAAAGCAAACAAAAAAAGTTTCGAAAGCACACCAGAAACTTATTAATGCAAACCAGAAACCTCCTAATGCATGCCACAAATCTCCAAAAACAAACCACAAACCTCCCAACGCAAACCACAACATTTGCGAAAGCACACCAGAAACCTCCTAATGCAAACCACAAACACAGTAAATCAAACCACAAAAAAGCAAACCATAAACATCCTAATGCAGACCACAAATATATTAAAACAAACCAGAAACCTCACAATGCAAACCACAAAGTTTTTGAAAACAAACCAGAAACTTCTCAATGCAAACCACAAACACAATAAAACAAACCATAAAAGGCATAAAAAATATGAGAAACCAAACCATAAATCTCACAATGCAGACCATAACATCCGGTGGTCGTTGACCGTTGACCGGTCAACGAAGACCGTTGACCGAACTCCGGTGACCGTCAGTGAGCAGATTCCGACGCCGATAGGCATATTCCGGCCCCGGTGACTAGATTCCGACGCCGGTAAGCATATTCCGACTCCGGTAAGCATATTCCGGCCACAAAATAGCATATTCCAGCGACAAAAAACATATTCCGGTGACCGGCGACCGGTGGCAGAATTCCGACGACCAAATTTTTGGGCAGAAAATAAAAAAATATTTTTATTTTTTATTTTTTATTTTTTTATTTTAATAGATTTTTCATAATGACAATTATACCCCTGTTTTGATTTTACACTAGATCAACTCATCTAATAAGAAGTCATCACAATCCTAGCTTCCTATTGGTTGGGGACTAGTGTTGTTACAATAACAACACAATGGGTGTTGTTACAATAACCGGTCCGGAAGAGAAAAGAGTCAAAGTCTTAAAGTTATAGAGGGGATTCTATTGAAACCCTATCTACAACCTAACCATGAAACAAATTCAATCCCTTAACATACGGAATGCCATGAACAGAGCATCATAGCGCCACAGAAAAAGGTTGAAATTCAAGGTCAAGAATACGAGTGAAAGGTGGGCCAAGTCCAACCCATATATGATATGGATAGTGGACACCGTCCATAGTCAGTAGTACTCACATTCCGACTTGGACTAAGATTTGATTTGGGCGGAAGGCACAGTGCACACGGTAATAAAAGCAAAAATTCCTTACGTGTAAAAACCTTTAAACCGAGAGCAGCAACTTGTCTCAGTATCTGTCGCCAAAACCAAATAATCCCAGCTGTTAAATCTCCCATGTGGATAGTTTTGGGTGGGTCCTAATCCGACTTGGATTGAGATTGGATTTGGGTGTAAAAGCAAAGACGCAAAATCCTTCAAACCGCAGTTTTCCTTCCCGTGCCGCCGTCTTCTTTCTCCAATCCAATCCATGGCGACCGAGGGCAGCAACTCGTCTCAGTATCTGTCGCCAAGCCAAATAATCCCAGCTGTTAAACCTCCCATGACGGCGATCGACAAACTCGAAGGCGATCTCCTGACACAAGTTCTCATTCGAGTTCAGGAACCTAGATCCCGCTGCCACTGCAAACTCGTGTGCAAGCAATGGAACTCTCTGCTCTCTGATCCGGACTTCGTCCGCAGCTTCGATTCTCACCACCAGAGCGCCGGAGAATCGGATGGCGAATCGCCTCTGATGCTCAAAGACTCCATCTTGAGCTTCATCCCCGTGCCCGACGCTGAGCGTCGACGTGCTTTCAAGATTTTCGATTCCTTCAAGGACTTACTTCTATGCGGGTTCGGATGCCAACTGTGCGATCCGGTACTCGAGAGGTCGTTTCTGATTTGCAACCCAACCACGAAGCAGTGGATCTCCCTTCCTGTAGCGCCCGAGAAGCCCGAGGGCTCTAGCGACCCCGTTGCCAGGCTAGTTTGTGAACCCCGCAGTAGCGGCGGTGGAAATCATGGCTATCGGTTTCGGGTGGTGCACATGTATCGACATATAGACCATCGATATGGGCATCCTACACGATTTGTGGATTCTATAAGACTAGACGTATTTTGTTCCGAATCCGGAGGATGGATTGAGAAGGCTCTTGTTCTCCAAGGCTATAGCAGAATGATCCACAAGAATGTTGTGTGTTCCTGCAACGGGAGGCTGTTTTGGTGCTGTGAGAAAGTCAATGGTCTCGACCACCGGCCGAATTTTATGGTGGTTGCAATTAATCCTTTCCGTCTCGATATACCTCCCATTTTGATTGACACGCCTCCGGCGGGTCTGCTCCCTCGTAACCCGTCGTGGAATATTTCGGTTTCACAAGATGCTTTGCATGTAATTGTATTCGAGAGTTATCCTCGGCTTGGTGTCTCGAGGAACCTCTCGAGCGTCTGGAGGCTGGAGGAAGACTACAAGTCTTGGAGTAGCCTACACCAGGGGTGGTTGAACTTGAACACATCGAGATTTAAGGGTTTGAATGAGTATTTTCTTCATCATATACGCCACGTGCATCCGGACAAGTCGGAAATTGTGTTTCTGGAGTTTCAGTGGTATCCCGGTCACTCTCATGTTTGGTACGTTATCTTGTCCTTCAATTTAGTGAGCGGAGAGATAGACTACTTCTCTAATGTAGCACAACATGAAACTCCGTGGACGGTGTTCAAACCTAAGGTTTCTTGTTGGCCCATTCCAATTCCAAGATACGAGAAACTACGAACTAGATATGATGGAAGCCACAGGTGGTTGGTTCAAAGCAGCAGCAACAACAAGAAAGCAAGATATATATGATGGAAGCCACAAGTGGTTGGTTCAAAGCAGCAACAACAAGAAAGCAACTGCATACGAGTGAGTGAGTGGTGAGATGCCAATTTGTCACAAACATCATAGATTCATTTGGCATTTGGACGTATTTTATTATATAGTATATGATTTTTTTGCTCCATCATCTTTCACAATTACTACATTTACTTTTTTTGTGTGAAATTTGAAATCGTTTGTAGAGATAATGCCGAGGTTAACTAGAGAACCCCATCCCCATGGCCCTGCCCTGTTTTTAACTCCGTGTTAGAGAGTTTTCATCCCTTTTTTTTTTTTTTTCCATTTTTACAGTTAAGAACTAACTATACTGCTGATGATAATATTGGTGTCGGGAGGAACTGAACTGATGTTGCTGTTTCAGCTTCTGCATCAGCATGCTACTGTATGTTGTCTCATTCCTGGTGGATGACAGTAATGATACATGCACTGCAATGAATGATTCAAGAATACATATATGAGAAGCTGCATCACTTAAAGCATTGCAAAATTCATTAGGATGTGTTTGGATAGAAGGATTTGGATTTAATATTTGTGATTTGAATTTCTAAAGGCTAAATTACACGTTTGGTCACTCAAATTATATAAATCTTTCACGTTTGACACCCGAATTACTTTTCTTTCTTATTCGCCACTAACTTTACGAATCGTTTCACCGTAGCCACCCGCCGTCCAATTCCGTTAAAATCATCCTACGTGGCAGTCAACCAAAGCCTTTGACCGTTAGTTTTGATGACGTGGCAATTAAAAAATAATATAAAAATAAAAAAAATAAAAATAAAAATAAAAAATAAAATCATTTTTAACCGGTCACCGCCGGTGGTCGTCGCCATGCCTCTAATCCAAACCCTGACCGCAATCGGAGCCTGCGCCCCGCCGCTCGCGATCCCGGCCGAGGCAGCTCGCCGAGCGACGGCGCCTGCTCCTCCGCCAGTCGCCGAGGATAAATTGCGCAGCGCCAGAGCAGCCACACCCAGCCTGCTGGCTCCACCGCGGCCCATCGTATACATCATCGTCGCCGTTGATATCACCGATCGAACACCAGAAAGAAAGCTCGGTAGTAATTCTAGAGAGAGAATTGTTGGAGGAAGTTTTCGCTAATTCTTCGGAGTAGTGATTGTGAGAAAGAATTGAGAAAGGGGGGTTTTTGCTTTTGCTTGGAGAAGACGATGGGGTTTAAGGGAGGTTTAGCTATTTATATACACAGCCACGCGCAGCGAAATTTCGAAACTGGAAAAAGAGTTCCCTCTATCCTTCACCCACTCACTCGTCAAATCCTTTTATTCCCTCTCCTCGCCGCGTTCAGTTTATACTCGAAAAGCTTCACATTTTTGCAATTCCAAGAGAGGCAGAGTTGCAGAGGAACGGAGCAAGGGCGTGGTGGATTGCAGTCCAGAAGTTTTCGATTTGTTTGACGAGAAGTGAAGAATCATTATCTCCTCCAAGGTTTTAGATGATCACTCTCTCTCTCTCTCTCTTTCTTTCTTCGTTTGCTCAATTCCAAATTTCAGACTCAAGTACTAGGACTCGCCATGGCAGTTTCACTTCTTGTATAGTAGTTCTTCATGTCCATGGGTACTTTCTATTTTTCTGGGTTTCTACGGCGTTCTTGGGATCTTTAAAGAAATACCCATTTGCCTCTTTGCTTCGTTTCTCCATTCGATTTCTCTGTTCCCGCACCAAATTAGTCTTGTTGATGAGATTTTTCCTCCAATGGTGGTTAGTTATGGCGTTGTCCAGGTCTCCTGGAGAAGGTTTATTTTTATATTATTTTTTATTTTTATATTATTTTTAAATTTCCACGTCATCAAAACTAACGGTCAAAGGCTTTGGTTGACTGCCACGTAGGATGATTTTAACGGAATTGGACGGCGGGTGGCTACGGTGAAACGATTCGTAAAGTTAGTGGCGAATAAGAAAGAAAAGTAATTCGGGTGGCAAACGTGAAAGATTTATATAATTTGAGTGACCAAACGTGTAATTTAGCCAATTTCTAAATGTCAAATCATTTATTTGAATGTTAATTATATTTGGTAGTTGGATTTGTGCCCAAATCCGTGAATAATTTTCAAATATATATTTAGTGTATTACTTGTCAAATTCAAATACATTTCAATAATAAGTGATATAAAATTACTCCTAACAAAAGAAAGAAACTTGAGTGCTGAAAATGTCGAGCAAACCTGAAAATCATTATTATTCCTTCCTTTCTTAATGGTTAAATAAAAGGAGTATATGATAATTTTATCACTCATTTAGATAAACCAAAGAGTGAACCAAAGAGTGAACCTGGCAAAGTCAGCGGTATGTTTCAGTCGGAATATTTTGGTACCGGATCAAGAGTTTTTAGCAACAGTTATGGGGGTAGGAGCTGTCGGGGTACATGATAAATATCTGGGACTCCCCTCCCTCATAGCTCGATCGAAAATGGAAACTTTTCGCTATTTAGAGGAAAAGCTACTGGAGCGCCTGAAGGGGTGGAAAAGGCGAACTCTGTCTTGGGCAGCTAAGGAGACCTTGATAAAATCTGTGGCCATGGCTTTGCCCCTTCATGTGATGTCATGCTTCAAACTGCCTCTGGCCCTGTGTCGTCTCCTGGATAGGCACGTTGCCCGATTCTGGTGGGGAGATGAGGATAGTCATTCAAAAATCCGGTGGGTGTCCTGGCGGGACATGTGCAGGAGCAAACATGATGGGGGGATGGGCTTTCGACGATTTGAACATTTTAATCAAGCTCTTTTGGCTAAAATTGGCTGGCAGATCCTCCAGGAGCCCTATTCTCTGCTGGCCCAAGTTTATAAAGGGAAATACTTCCCTCAAGGGCATTTCCTTAATGCGAAGGCGCGCTCTCGCCCTTCGTGGGGCTGGCAGAGTATTCTGTATGGGAGGGAACTCTTAAAGATGGGTCTTCGTTGGCAAATTGGGAATGGGCGTGCGGCTTCTATGTTATACTCTACTTGGGTTCCCCAGAACCAGTTTGAGCCTATTCGATATAACCCACAGGTCTTGCCTATAGGAGGGGATCCCCCAGTTTCGGAGCTTATTTGTCAAGGGGAAGGTCGTTGGAGTGACTCTAAGCTTAACCAATGGTTTGACCCTGATACTTGTCGTAATATTAAGGCAATTCCTCTACCGTGTGTGGATATGGAGGATATGCTAATCTGGCATGATACGGCAGATGGGGCTTTTTCGGTGAAATCTGCGTACCATCTGGCGGTCGCCTTGGACAGGCGTCGGGGTCATTGGAGGGCTAGGGTAGATTGGATGGATCGTCGTAGCTGGATCCGCCTGTGGGAGGCAAACATCCCCCCGAAATTGAAGGTGTTTCTCTGGCAAATTTTTCATCGAGCCCTGCCCACGACGGAGGCATTGCGAGCAAAAAAGGTTGAAGTTCAGCCTCGTTGCCCGGTTTGTTGGGAGGAAGAAGAGACTATGGAGCATCTTTTTCTGGAGTGCCAAGTAGCCAGAACTCTTTGGGGTGCTGCAGGCTTAGAGCATATTGGGGAAGGATTGCCGCGTCATTCCTTTCCTTTGTTTCTTAAGAGGGTCTTGGCTCTTATCCAGTGCCCTACTCTGCTCATGGCCATTGTTGCTGTCCTCTGGCGTATTTGGCGCTCCCGTAATTGGGTGGTCTTTGAAGGGAAACAGTATAAGGTGGAGGCTTTGTTACGACAGTTCTCGCAGCAGTATGAGGAGTGGGTGCGTTTCCCGGCTGATAAGTCAAGGGTTGACCCTGCTGCTGTGGGGGCTCCGCCGTCGACCCAGGAGGTGGTACCGGAGATTAACTGTGGTTGGGATGGGGCGGTTCGGAGGGGGTCACATTCTGCAGGAGGGATGGTCTTGATGACCTTGAACCGGGATCTCATAATGGTTAATGGGTTCCATTTTCCCGTCATAGATGATCCTCTGGTGGTGGAGTTACTGGTATTACGGGGAGCGATCCGCTGGTGTATCGATCATGGGTTCTCTAGTGTGCGTTTCAAGGGAGATGCCAAGGTGGTCATTGAGAAGATCCAGCTAAAGGATGCTAGAGATGGCAGGATTGGAGCGATATTGAAGGAAGTTCTGCAGTATTTGTCCTGCAATCAAGGGTTTTCTGTTCGGTTTATAGGTCGGCGTGCCAATAGGGTAGCCCATTTAGTGGCTCGGAAGGCCCTCATTATGTACCCGGCTATGTACCGTCCTGTTGATTTTCAGGCCTGGCTGACCTCCAGGATGTAACTATCTTTCTGGTCTAATATAATATTACCTTTTGTAAAAAAAAAAAAAAAAAAAGATAAACCAACTCATGGATTTGGACGAAAAACTTCATAGTGCTGAAGAAAATAGCTATTATTGGTTTTGGTCAATTGGTAATTTGGTATGCAAATCACAAATTGTATCAATACTCCGTGTTTAATATAAGTATATATATTTGTACGTATTTTATTCGTAAAAAATTGTAATATTGTTATCATAGGCAGTAAATACTCAATTTAATACACGTATATGTACTCGTACGTATTTTATCCGTAAAAACTTCCGTATCCATATTATTGTCAAGCTGTTTCATTTTTTTCCATTTATTTGATGGCTCTCGTACTAAACACGTAAAAACCCATATAACACGTTTAATATCCTTATTTAACGAATTAAATTGTTAACCTTACAATTATTTATATATATTTTTATTTTTAAATTAATTAATCGAATTAAATTGTTAACCTTACAATTATTTATATATATTTTTATTTTTAAATTAATTAATTATATATATGACTATCAACGTACTATTATACGTAACATTATGTTAGAGATGAAGTAAAATAGCCGTATGTATTTTATACATAACTTTCCAGTATCGTATTTTATTAACTATAATTGTTATAAGAACTGAACGACATAAGCAGCTAGATCAGTAGAACCACCAAATCGGTTATAATGGTGGCCCAGTTCTTTTGTTTAGATGGTTTTGGATGGAATAAACTTTTTTTAACGCTTAGAAATGAAAGCAGATGAAGTACTGGTCGTTTGGATGGATCAATCTAGAAATGAGTCAATTTGATCAATTGTCTCGTTTTATAAACGAGACAATTAAAACGAGTCAATTCGAATTATCTGCCCCCACCCCAGGTAATTGAAATTGAATCAAAATGGATCAATTCAAAATACCTCATGCAGATTGATCCATCCAAAAATTTTGCTGGCAAACGAGGCAATTTGGTACAATTGTCTCAAAACGAGACAATTGTGTCAAATTGATCCGTTACAATTCCTCATCCAAACGACCCCGATTTTATTGATACAGTGGTTCACTATTTTAACCACAAAAAGATTAAAAAAAAATTATTTTAACTTAAACTAAGAGTATCCAACTTGAATTACTAATTTTATTTCTACTTCATTTTCTCTGTTTTCCAGCCTTTTTGTGATCAATTATGGAGTGCTAGCCTAATTACTAACTTGAATTTAATAAAAAAGGGTTATGATTTCTTTTTCGAGATAGTTTGAATCATTTGTTAGAACTATTACATGTGGATTTGAAATTGTTCATTGTTAGAGTGATAAATTTAATATTAAATTAGTTTTTTATATATGCCTTTTATGTTATTACATAAGAACAGTTCTATCAACGATTAACCAACAATTCTATTATTATTAACCGTCAAATCATGAACCACTAACTTTTCCGCTTTAACATCCGGTTCGGTTCAGGAACAGGAGACATTTTTAACAGCCCATCTCATTGACCCAAACCCTGTAATTGGGCTGGGCTTACTCCAGATTGTACAGTCCACAATCGGTGCAATTCAAGGGCCCAGTTCAAAATTAACGGGTTCGGCAAACAAGCGATCTGGTTATCATTTCCACTTTCCATTGGCAAAGCCTCTGAGCTTTTTGGTTAAACCAAATCCAATTCACAGCTCCCATTTCTCTGCATCGAGCGAGAGAGAGAGAAACTGTAAGAGAATAGCCGGAAGTGGGAGCGAGCGAGGGAGCATTTTGATCTGGAACTGGTACTGGAGTGGGAATCACGCGATGTTCCTACGGGCGATCTCGCGGCCATTGATGGCCAAGGTGAAACAGACGACGGGGATCGTCGGTCTTGACGTCGTTCCCAACGCCAAGGAAGTGTTGATCTCCCTCTACTCCAAAACCCTAAACGAGATTCAGGCGGTCCCTCCGGACGAAGGGTACCGGAAGGCGGTGGAGAGCTTCACTAAGCACAGGCTGAAGGTATGCCAGGAGGAGGAAGATTGGGAGGCGATCGAGAAGAGGCTTGGTTGCGGTCAGGTCGAGGAGCTTATCGAGGAGGCCAGGGACGAGCTCAAGCTCATCGAGAAAATGATCGGTGAGTACGACTTTCGAATGCTTCAATTAACGTTTCATTTGGCCCCCAATGTATGATTACTTTGATTAAGCGCCATAGAATAGCCGACTCTGGAATTCTGAGCATCTTCATTTGACAGCGACGTTGAAAATGGTAGATGTAATGTAGTTATGGGATTTCGAAATTGATTTCTTGCTGGTACTTCGTTAATTGAGGTATCTGTGGCTTTATTTTGGCCTGTGAAAGAATTTAGCGTTTAGAGGGTTGGGTTGGATTGGTAGTGAAGTTCCTTGGTTTAAGTTGTGTTTGATCTGCTAGATTTAAAGTTATTGACTGAGTTATAGTGGAAGATCTTCTACAATTTGGTTGAAAATGTCTGTAGAAATGAGGTGCTTGGGTTTTACCTGTAGTATGGTTTCTGGCTATGAATTTTCTTGTAGACTTAGTCGGATAAGGCTCCGGCCAAAAGTACAGGATGAACATCTAAGGGTTGTTTGAAAGTTTCGGTTTAGGGCTTTGGATTGTTCTAATGTTTGCACAATCCTTAACTGGAGTAATGATTGGTTTGTGTTTGATTCGAGAGTTCTATTCTATTTGGTTTAAATCATGTCCAATGTACCACAATTAACCACTCGAGAGTGAGATGAACAAGGTCATATGGCTCAAGTCATCAGTTGGTCAGTGATCTGATGTATAAACCTGATGCCTGTCTCCTGGTCTATGTTGGTCTATGCTACTCTCCAGTTATAGTGGCGCAAGATTACAGTGTCATCCTTGTCATCCAGTAGCCTATTATATGCCCGATATGGTATCAGATCATCTAGTGTTTAGCATTTTTTGCTCTTTCACAATCGTTTCTTAGCTACACGAGCGCTACTGTACTGCAGTGAATATTTCATCAAACTCCAGCTAATGTGCTTACTGCTTAGTGTTACACTGCTGGTTTTCTTTCCACTAATGCATTGAAATTAAGTGATATGGAAAGCGACTAACTATAATGATCTTCATTTTCCTTTGAATGTACTTGCAGAGTGGGATCCCTGGGGTGTGCCTGATGACTATGAATGTGAGGTCATAGAGAATGATGCTCCAGTGCCTAAGCACGTCCCCCTACATCGACCTGGTCCCCTCCCCGAGGAATTCTATTCGACGCTAGAGAAGTTGCAATTGAATTCTAAGGAGGCACCACCTGCTGTCACCTCCGGCGAGTCAAAGGCAGAGTAGCACGCTGCTGGAACTTCCATCGGGGAACTTCCATCATAAGACTATCTTCTTGGATCTTGTTTGTGTTTTGTCATCGTGTAATTTTCTGTTTCGGCCACATTTAAATAGAGGCTTTTTTCATTTTATGAGACGGTGGCTTTGAAGAACCATTCAGTTCAATAATCTTTGAAACCAATCAAAGATGTTAGGAATTTCTTTCTTCAAATCTTTGTTGTCTTTCAATTCCAATTGATCCATGCAAACTGTGGCGGTCCTTGCCCTCGACGGTGTAGATTTTGGGTTTCATTGGCAGGAACTTATACAGATATGCTAATGTGTTTGAAGAAACAAGTTCTTAAAGTTCTTTACAAGACTTTGTTCTTCATGTTACTTGATCAATTCAAGATACTTTCTGTAAGAGACGCATCTGTCATCGACGAGAACATTCAGATTGCTGTAGCCTGTAGGCAAACAAGAATTTCTTTAGTCTTCCGGAAACATTGAAGGGAAAGAGCACCATACTCTTCATTCAAAATCAGCTGGTTCCAGTAATTCCTATACATTATACAGTATCTCTCATACTTCAGGATTACATCGGAACATCAAATTAATTGACAACTGATAGGGGTTGTAAGTCAGCTAGTTAGTCAGTACAATGCTAAGCCTTTCTCCATAATATGAGAAGCTCTTCTGTCAAAAAAAAAAAAAAAAAAATGAGAAGCTCCTAACGTCCCAGTAAAGTCTGCAGAAACAAAGCATTCTGGTGATCTGTCCTATCAAGCGGCGTCAAAGGCATAATCTCCAGAACCTATATGGCATCTTCCAGACGCACAGCTTTGCTAATGGTATCATTCAAACAAGCATAATGCTCTAACAATGGCTCTGCCGCATGCTGCTCCCTGAAGAAGCCAGCGATTAACGATGTCCAAGCAATGGCATTAGGCGATTGCATCTCCTTGAAGACTCTCAACTCACCTTCTACCTTGTCAGAGCATTTCATGTACATATCTAGAAAGAAGGGAATTTCCGAGTGGGATATGGTCCTCTACTTGCTGTTATTACTCTCGAGTGGATTTGCATACCCAAATCCAGCGAGTGAATTGGCGAGCATTCACTGAGCAAGACCAAGAATGTGACCTCATTTGGCAAGATTCCAGAGAGATTCATGTCTCCCAACGCACCGAGACCGAAAGCCAATTTGGAAGTTCTGAGTTTTGAGCAAATCCTGAGATGACTACTGACTAGTCCATAGGACATCGGATTCAGTGGTGAGCTTGACTACTTTTTCAGTATCTCCAATCTTCTGGCATTTTGAGTACATGTCCACAAGCATTGTTTTCGTTACCAGATTCAGCTCTCAACACCCAAAACTACGGCGTGGGTATGAATCAGTTTGCCGTACTCCAAACCAAGAAATCCACTTGCTGCTAACATTTTGGAGACAGTAAACCCATTTGCAGTGACTCCAGACTTAGATCATATTGATGTGAAGCCGGAAAGCTTGTCGATACTTACCAGCTCAAACATAGGAAGAGATCATTGTCGTCCAAGAAACAACATCGGCTTCATCGATCAAGCCGAAGACTTTATTTGCATCTGAAGAATCAAACTTGGAATACAAGTCAATCAAAGAGCTTCCCTCCAGTGGGTTTGACTGCAACCCATGTTTTAATAAACACCCGTGAACGCGCTTCCCAATCCATAGTCCAGATCACTCAGGGCAGCACACGATCTAACAACGCAGGAGAAAGTGAAGGCATTTGGGTGCACACCCTAATCCGCCATGTCATGATACAAATCGATCGCTGCTCTTACATCATCGATTTGAGTTGGTGCAAAACAGGGGCACGACTTAGATGAGTTGCAAAGGGCCACATGATAACTCGCTGAAGCTTATGAATGCCTTCAAAATAGAAATATGGGCTAAACAACCTTGTGAACGCAAAGTATATCTAGAGAGAGGAATCAGAGGCGGGATAAAAAGAAGGTAGACCGAGACTGATTAAAATTTTCAACAATGTATTTCAAATTCATACTTAAATAGTTATTTATATACCGTTTGGTATAAATGAATTTCATAAGTTTTAAGCAATTCATTTTGAAATGAAACATTTTTGTGTTTGATATTTAAAAAAATTCATTTTCAATTCTAAATTTTGAATTCTATGGAATTGGTATTAGTTATAGCAATTCCGATGAATTGAGATGGAATTTCCAAATGAATTCCACAACTATTTACTAATTATAATAGATAGACATAATTATCCTCTTTATTAACTAAATTACTTATATATATGTGACATACCAAACACAGGAATTCATTTGACAATGAATTCTGCAATATAATTCATTTTATTTCTAAAGATTTGAATATGACATACCAAACACAAGATTTCATTTAACAATGAATTCTACACGGTAATTCAATTTACAGTGAAATGAATTCTTGATTCATTTGATACCAAACGGTTTGTAAAGTTTAAATCAAAACTTGAACCTAATTTGTTTATCATCTGACCTTAAGTTTAACAGTTTCGCTAATATTACTTTGATTTATTTTTTTATCTTTGCTTTCAAAGAATTTGACTATGATTCGAATGATAGAGATGATTAAGATTCACGAGTCACCAAAAATTCAAATTTGTAAAAGAAAGATATAGTGTTTAACAATAGTTAGGGATTACAATCAAACCCATGATTGCGGGTGCCCAACCGCCTCCGACCTTGTGAACACGGAGAATTCCCGCATTGACTGGGTATGGGGCGGGTATGGTTGTAGCCTCCCCACCTCATACCCATACTCATACCCATACCCGCCCCATCAAAAACATTTCTTCACATGTTCAAAATAGATAGATAAAATTGTAACCTATCAATGATTGTAAGGGTAACTCAAGATAATAAATAGTAGAAATGTAATTGAGCGGCCACCCAAATCAAAACCTAATTCCTTTTCCTCAACTCTCCATTCACGCTTTTACTTTTCCCTCATGTTAACAAGATCATGTTAGTTAGTTATTACTCAATAGATGTATGAATGTATCAGAGTCAAAGACTAGTAATTTGGATTGCCAGAATTATGTGCAGGAATAGATCACGAGGATTCTGTGCTGCCTTCTGGTTCCATACGATTTCGATTTACCCCCGCTAACTAGACACGCTCTCACGCTCAACTGATCACTGGAAATTCCCGGTTGGTGTCCCTCGCCCCGCTAGTGACCGTCGACCGTCCTTCTTTGCGGATGAGGTCGGTGGGATAGGTTTATAAGTGGACATTTGTGGCGGATGGTTCTTATTTTTTGCAGTTGTGTGGTCCATCTAAGGGATTAAATATAGTCATTATTCAATTTGATTGTACATTCCTTAAATAAATTTATGCTTTCCCCGTTTTCTTGGATTGCCTACATTGGTCTATCTAATGTGCTCTATTGTCCGTATATGGGAGTGTACTAGTAACTACTTGGTCTTGTCATGTAACCATGGTGTTTTGATGAATGATCAGGTGTCTTGTTCAACCCCTAGAGCAGCCCAGAAGGAACCTATGGCTCACGTTGTAAAAAATCAGAATGTGCAGTTAAAGTTCGAAGTGGTTCAATCCTCCCACTTCCGCACCTCCCACGCTCTTCTGGGTAGGATGTTTACGGATAGGAGATCTTCGATGACGGCGATCCATGAAGCAGTCAATGTAGCATGGCAAGGGCATGGGCCGATCGCATTTCTGAGGGAAGACAAGGATTCCTGGAGTTTGCCCTCCCTAGTGAAGCTTGTAAGACTTGGGTGCTGGAGAGAATTCCCTGGATTATCAAGGATAAGATCCTTCACTTATGGAGCTGGGTTACGTTTCTGATGTCACGCTTCATACGTATGAAGAAATGGTGCGCACTCCTTTTGGTATTTAGCTCTGGGATGTGAATGAAGATAGTTGTACCCCTAAATTTGGACGGTCAATGGTCCAGTAAGCCATTGGGAGAATCCTTGAAGCATGTGTTTATGCCTACCATACAGAAAAGCAAAATTTCATTAAGGTGAAAGCTATCATCGATTTTACTAAACTACTCCGCTCTCAGATCATGGCGCTGAGTGAGGAAGCTGGTTGTTTCTGGGTCAGCCTGAAGTATGAGTTCCTGCCTAGCTTCTACTTTAAATGTGGTCGTGTGGGGCATTGTTTACAAACTTGTGAGTATGATCCACCACAACGAAAGGAGAGGTTCGGGCCACATATGAATACTAAAGCGTTGGGAGAAAAACTCTATGGAGAAGAGGATGACAACCGGTTGGTGTATGGGGCTTCTAGGTCAGTTAGGGTCAATCCGGAGGTTGCTAGAGGAAAATCGCAAGGAGGACTCTCTATACTAGGCAAATCGCAAGGAGGACAGGAAAAATGAAGGAAGAAGCCCTCGTGGTTTCATGGTAGCTAAATCATCGAAGCTCAAGATTGGGAAGAGCAATGATGTTAGGGTGGTTAGGAGACTCCCTATGATGGAGGAGCATAAAAAGGCTTCTGGAAATAGTCGTGGCAGCCTGGCAGGACCAAAACATGTATCAGAGTAAGAATGATGGCTCAAGTGAAAGGTTGCCGCGTAGGAAGGAAGAGAAGGTCCGGACGGATCAGATACCCAGGGATCCTAAAGGGAACGATCGTGGTCAACGATCCTAGGAGTCGCTGGGAAGGAGAATGAGAGGCAGTTCAGCATGCATGAAAGTCCATGGTCACTCAGGGCGTACTAAGCACGAAGGAAGTCAAATGAAGACGGATTGTCTGGGCTCTAGGTTAGCCTATGGTGATGCTGGCATGAATGAGGGAAGTGGGCTCATGCCTGCACAGAGACAAGGAAAGGCACATATGATTGAGAGAGAGAAGAAGGGGGAACATGCTGCAACGAAGACAAGAATGGATCGCAGGTCTTTGAGCTTTGATTCCGGCATGCAACAGTCTGACATAATCTTTGATGAGGCTACTGATGACCTCGTTCTCCTTAATCCTTTCCTACTAGAAAAGTCGAGGTGGACTATCGAGACTAGTAGAGGATGACTCTGAGACGACGAATTCTGAGGGGTATGTGTCCGTCTACGATCTGGAGACTAATGGTCACAATTTTGAGTTGAAGAGCCGTGTTGCCCCCCTGTGTGGAATGGGTTGGCTGCTCCAGTGGTGAGCCATGTTCGATGTGCTGTTGAAGTCTTTGAGTGTAATGCATCGTCAAAGATTGTGAAGGGGAGGGGATCTAGACCGGTGACGGTGAGTGTGAAAGAACCCCAAGGACCAATTGAGTCTATATGTTACATAGTTGAGGCCAGGATATTAATTTCTGAAACCACATGCCAAAGTTGATTATATGGTCATAGTTCATACCAAAATAAGGTATTAACGAAATAAAAACCTATATCACCCATTTACACGGATTAATTCGTTTCTTTCATTAGAAACATATTGGGCCCAAACAAACGGGAAGAAAACGTGATACCAAAAGCGTTGGTTAAGCAATTTCAATTCCCATCGTTTCCGGTCCGGATTCCATGTAAGTTCCCTTTGGGCCCAGCTAAGGCAAGTATAAACAATTTTACTTGCTAATTTATTTATTTATATAAGTTCGAAGACTTGGATTAAGTCTCCGCCTCCCTTTCCTACTACTTGTAAACAATCTCTCCGCGACTCCGCGTTCATTAGTTTCTCAAGTCAATCTGATTCGCTGCCTCCTTCCAGTTCTCCCATTAATCATTCGTAATCGTACGCTTTCCCCTCTCTGTCGCCTTCTAGACTCTTCCATTCTCTGCTCCGCTGCTGCAAACTTCAATGGCTTCCGATCTAGAGAACAAGGCCAAAGAGGCTTTCATCGACGACCACTTCCAACTCGCCGCCGATCTCTACTCCCAGGCCATCGATCTCAACCCTAAAAGCGCCGAGCTTTTCGCCGACCGCGCTCAGGCAAATATAAAGCTCGGCAATCTCACTGGTACGCACTCTCCTCTCTTCATCCTTCGGCGGAAGCCTGAGAATAGTGTGAACTAAGAAACTCGTGAGGGAATTATTGGAATTTCGTTGCTAATGTGCCAGTTATGAGTTAACGGCTACTTTTGGGATAGTTTAGAGAAATTGCAATGCAAATGCGGTGTTCGATAACAGAATGAGTCAGTGTATGGCTAGGAAGAGTTTAGTTGCTTTTGCTCTGTTGGGAATCCGGCTGTGAGTTTACCCTGATCGACATGTGTTGCGTTTTCTGTCAACAGAGGCGGTTTCTGATGCAAACAAGGCGATTGAGCTGGATGCTTCAATGGCCAAACCATATTTGCGGAAAGGGTTAGTAGGTTTGACCCCAATGAAGTTAAAACGCGATAGGTGTGCTTTTTAATGTTTTCTTTGTTGAATTCTGCTGACTGTGATTGCAGCATAGCATGCATGAAGTTGGAGGAGTATCAAACTGCTAAAGCAGCCCTTGACACCGGAATTTCTTTGGCTTCTGGTGATTCACGATCAAGATTCGCTTCTTTGATTAAAGAATGTGAAGATCGCATTGCTGGTAGGAGCCGTGTTCTTTGCTAGCTAGGCTACTATGTATTGTATGTGATATATGTCAGGACTTGTTTCTCCTTCATGTTTCCTATGTTCTTCCGAGTTGTCTCTGTGAATGCCCTTTGGTCGCAAGTAGCAAATCTTCCTAGTTTTTGTGCTTTTGTGATAGTAGAAAGCCTTCTTATCCGACTTCCGATGGTTGATTTCTTTTGGACATATATGAGTCAGTGTATGTTGTTTGCTGGTTTTCAAAATTCAAAGCTCTTTTTCCATATAAGTAATTTGAGAAAGGATTGGTTTCTTTTGCTGTAAAATGACTCGTTCGTTGGCAGATTGAATGCCGTGCATTGTGCAACCTTATCTAGGTAGATTATTGTAAGGTTTCTGCCGTGGCAATATAATCAGCTTGAATACAGTCAGTCAAGGCACTAAACTGGTTTTTGTATTTGAAGATAAGGCATGAAAATGTTGATGTGCAAAAGTGTATGCTTGGTGTTTTCACTTTTGGTTAGTCTGTTATATAGTTTTCTCTGTTATTTTTTTTTCTTTTCTCCCAGAGGAAACAGGCCAGCTGCCAAAAGAGGAGTTAGAACTCCCATCAAATGCCACCCCCATGCAAGAGGAACCAGTGAATGGACTCTCCAGCGAGACACAAGATGTAACTCCACCCAAGCCCAAATACAAGTGAGTGCTGGTTGTTCTGTAATTGTCTTTCAAGCATTCCAAATATCAATGACCTACATTTACAAGCTCATGTGGTCTTCAATTTGTTTTGTATCTTTCGTTATGCATTCATGGGGTTTTACTTCAGTCCGAATCACAATAAAAATTGCTCTCTACTGCAGTAAACAATTAGCATATTAGATGGCCCAACTCTCACCAAAAGATATGTTGATATGAGTTCTGCAGGCATGATTTCTATCAGAAGCCCGAGGAAGTCGTTGTGACTGTATTTGCTAAGCGTGTACCAGTTGACTGTGTGTCTGTCGACTTTGGTGAACAAATTGTAGGTGCCTGTTGGTCCTGCTTTTCATGAGTGCCAATTATGTATAATGAGTCTCTTAACTCCTTTGTTCCATTTTTCTTTAATTTACAGCTAAGCGTTAGCATCAACGTTCCTGGTGAAGATGCATACCATCTTCAACCTCGTTTGTTTGGCAAGGTACCAGAAGGATCATTTCTTTGAAGTAATGTGTTGTAAAGTTCGATTTACATAATCTATAGACATGGAATTTCAAATTTAGTCTATTGAGGCTCCTATGATAATGTCTTCTACTAGCTATTTCCTCTACTCTTGTTTTTTCAAAAATCTGTTGTTATCCAGATTATGACGAATTTTCTCTTTCTTCTGGCTTATTGGTCACAGATAGTACCTGCGAACTGCAAGTACATTGTCTTGTCTACCAAAGTGGAAATTCATCTTGCGAAAGCTGAACCTATACATTGGACCTCTCTAGAATATAAGGAAACAGCTGTCGTTAGAAGGCTGGACACTTCCTCTGGTATGTTAAACATGCTAATACTGTATAATTTCTTGTAATGTTCTACAACTACTGGGAATTTGAACAACAATACCATGCTAGAATTCCTAAGTTCACGGGTTAGGCGGTTTTGATGCTAAACCTCTACTGGGTTGAACAACAATATCTTGTGTTGATAAAGTTCCCTCGTCTGATGGACTATGCAGATGTTGCCATGAGACCCACATATCCGTCTTCCAAACCGAAGAAAGTGGATTGGGATAAACTTGAAGCCCAAGTGAAGAAGGAGGTATATAATTATAAATTGATTCACATTTGCCCTCTCTTTTCCTCTAGAAAATCCTCGAAAGTCATGTTCGTCAAATTTTGCCACTTGTGTGCATCAGGAAAAGGATGAAAAGCTGGATGGCGATGCAGCTCTGAATAAATTCTTCAGGGATATATACAAGGATGCTGATGAAGACACAAGACGAGCCATGCAGAAATCTTTTGTAAGAGCCTACTATCTATCTCTGCACTTCTATGTAGTCTGTAGTTCTACCGGTGCGATAATGTATGAAATTTGCCCTTCCATCTTGGATTCTTAATGTCCATATCATATTATTCGTGCAGGTGGAGTCGAGTGGGACGGTGTTGTCGACCAACTGGAAGGATGTGGGGAGCAAGAAGGTGGATGGAAGTGCTCCTGATGGTATGGAGATGAAGAAATGGGAGTACTGACAGTTGTGTGCCATAGTATAAACTCTCCGGGATTGCGATTTTGTGTCTCATGTTCGAATTCTAATTCGTTCCTTGCAGTCACACTTGTTTTTGGGATACAAACTGTTCAGTCTCTTTCTCTTGTTCTCTGTGACTGCGATTGCTTTCGAGTGAATTGCCAAGTAATTCATCTTTCTTGTTTTCCTGTACATATATCACCGTTTAGAGTTTACTATTGCACATTCCTGTGGTTTGGTTCAGTCAGAGTACGAGAATTGGTTCGAAAAGAAAACGGTAGTAACAGGGATCAAAGCGAATCGACCTGGTTTTTATTTTGGTTATGAAGTATGGATTAAGAATTTAAGATACAAAGAAACTTTAAACCCAGCAGACCAAACCATCGATACCGGGTCTGGAGAAGGCAACCCGAAACAGCAGCTAAAAAACTACGTGAAAAATCTCAAACCTTAAACACACCAATATTTTTTGATTTATTTGTTCCGGGTGCGTTCTCTTTCGGGTAATTAGCATAAACGATCACACAACTATTCACTTAGTACAAAACGGTCACTAAACTTCATTTTTGCACGATCCAGTCACACACCTTTGGACTAATACCAAAACGGCAATTCCGTCCAATTCCATCCAAAAAACCGTCAATTAAGTCCAGTCAGCTTGACACGCCATCCAAAAAAATAATAAAAAATGGACCAATCAGACCCACTTAACCAGTACACCCGACCCAACCCGGCCGTCCAACCCACCCAACCCAAGTCTGTACAATATAAATACAAACCCAACCCGAGAAGATAACTCAATCTCTCTTTCATTTCTTCTTTTCTCCTCTCTGAAAACCTAATCCCAGATTGGGAGGAAACGCCAACTCCCAATCCAAAATCTTCCTCACAAAGAAGGTCCTACTCCTCATGGGCTCCCTCCCAAATTGTAAGTGTCAAGAGAGAGTTGTCTTGCTAACATCGTGGACAGAAGATAATCCGGGTAGAAGGTTCCTCCGTTGTAAGAGAAAGTACTTGGTAAGGATGCTGGATTAGTTGGATTTCTATGTTAATTGTGGAAAGATTTGGTAATCATTATCCATTCTTTCATTTTAACTCCAGAAACTCCCTCACTATTGCGATTTCTTTGAGTGGATCGATCCTCTAGTTGAAGCTAGGACAAAAGTAGTCATCAATGGGCTTTTGAGGAAGATTAACAACCTGGAGAGAAAGTCGAGGGAAGAGATTCAGTGTGAGTGCAGCTCGCAGCCGAGAGCCGCTGCTTCTTTTATGTCTACTGCACAAAATGATGGACAAAGCAGAATAGGCAACCGAAGTGAAGATCTTTATGCACGGGTGATAAATCTAATTTTTGTAGTGATTTGTGTGCCTGTGGGAATTGTTGTTGGCAGATATGTTTAGGAAAAATTTGATTTTCGCTATGTACACCCTTTGTTTGGATCTGTAATCCTTAATTTTAAGGTTTATGTTGTGGTTCAGATATGTAACAAGATGGTAACAAATCTTTGTAGTCGAGAACAAATTGGTGAAATAACAATTCACTTAAAATTTTAACGGTCACAATTCTTTTGCCATTGTAACAAAATGGTCACACAACTATAGAACATGAAAATCGGCAGACTGTTTAGTACGAACATTTTAGACCTGGAAATGAAAATTAGCATTATATAAACCTGGGAATACAAGCATTACACAATACTTAACATTCAGTTGTACGATTACAAATACCAAGCATTCCATTCTACTTAACATGGATTGGCTATGACGAAAGTTCTCTATCAACCAATCAACATGCCCAAAAATCGAGTCTGCCGAGCTCCACAAGTCTATCGAGCTCCACATAAACAAGTTCCACAACATACTTCCCAAACATCAAAGTCTATCCTACTGTTGTTGCTTTACTGGCTAGATCTGCCCCTACCCCTCCCCCTACCCCTGCTAACTGTGACCTTGGTTCTGGACCAGGTGATGGGTGGACAAGCAGGAGTAGCCATAAAGGCTGTTGTCTCGGCTCCTGGAGATGATGCTTCTGGAGATGCTCCCCGCTGTTGAGGAGAGTGGGCTGCCTCCCTTGGTTCCTCGCTTCCTCCACCATTCTGAACAAAGGAAGGATAACAGTGCATGTCATTAAACATATATTTATCAGTTAGGAGAATAGAATCATCGTTAGATTCCAAGTCTTCACCCAAATGTGCCATGAAACACTCCCATCTGTCATGACACTCCTTCATTACTATTGCCCATGCAATGGGGTACATGCAATCATCCCCATCGATACCCACGGCTGAAAGAAGCTGCCATCCAGGCATAGCCTTCAGAAAACACCCATCCACACCAATAATTCTCCTACATCCAGCTTTGAATCCTTCTTTTATAGGACCCAAACATATGTAGATACTCTCAAAGGTTCTTCCGGTATGTTCAATCACCACTGATGTTCCAGGATTTCTTGCCTCCAACTCTTTCTTGTAGGCATATAGCTTTGCAAACTGGAGGTTGTCCTCCCCATGCACTGTTTTCAAAGCCAACTGTTTTGTTCTATATGCCTTCATTCGATTAATCTTCAAGCTTAAATCTGTCATAACAGTCTGCACCAGATTCGGAATTGACCACGATGGATCCACCCTCCACCAAGTTAGGTACTTCTTCACAAGGAAAGACGGCGCAGCAGCTCTTAGGTCTTCATCAACTCCACAAGTATGCTCGAGATTGCCCGACCTAATCTGAACAGTGTCTCAGTCCTTCCCTTTTGCAGCATACAACCTAAACCCACAATCCTCTGAGCACACACATATAACTCTCTTATTGTCGTTGGTTGGAAATCTCACGTCCCTTCTTTGAGTCACAGCATGTGACTTGCAAGCGACTTTGAACTTGTCAAATGATGCAAATAGTTGGCCGATCTTCATCTCAGGCATCTCCATATCCCGTCCAGCTCGAAACTGTGGGAATATAGTCTCGACATTGAAGACATCGTCGTCTTCTTCGCTGCCCCATCCAGTCTTCTCCACCAACTCAGCCTCACTTGCATACTCATCATCACTCTCCAATACCTTATCAAAGTCATCTTCTTCATTAACATGGGCAGCAGGTGGTTCCTCTCTATGAGATGAACATGTGGAATCTCGTGTTTGTCTCCCTCCTCTAGCTGTATGTTCTCGTCCCCTTCTCACTGAACCCGAACACACCCTAACTTCTTCCTCCGAACTTCGAATAGAATAGACCATATGTGCAGTATCAGGGCTGCCACAACTAGAATCTGTGTGCTTGATGTAGAGTTGGATAACCCTCTTTTCAGGAACGTGAGAACCCATCTCCAACACATCATGATCATTCTCCAGTAACTTCAGCCCGTTCTGCATATCTGCCCCTGGCATCAACCAAAAATTTGCATTGCATTTTCCACTTCTGATGTTCTCACCATCTCCTTTATTTCTAGCATTGACAATTTGTCGACATCGACAAAGTCAATGTAGTCCACCTTGCCATTACTATACTTCATGTGACCAAGTTGTCCCGTGCTGTTGATCTCGATGGTAAAAAGGTCCGAAGTTCCTGCAAATAAAACAAATGGAAAGATTTAAGTTCTGTCTCCTAAGTTGTTTTGTGCTGTTTCACATGGAGACCAGTTGCTTTCCATAGACAAAAATATAGTTTTATACCATTCTGTCAACATACACATTCAAACCACCAGCAATAGAATAATAAATGGGGACCAGTTGGTTTTCATTCATATACACTACTCGACAACAAATTTCATTGTTTATACCGACATTCACACCCACCCAAGTGGTCCACCATGTTCTGAAACCCTAAAAAGGTAAAAGTTTCAATCTATTGAATTACTCACCATAATCGGGCCGACCTCCACTCGTATTAAGCTTCCACTCCTCCATTATTGGTCAGAAGGAGCGGGAGGGGAGAAGAATCGCCCTCCTCGCGAAAGAAGACAGACGGTGGCGCGATGCGATTCTTCGGGCTGTTCGTCCGACCAGAAGAGAAGAGAGAGGTTGCTGGTGGGGGAGAAGAAGGAGGCGGCCGGAGTGGTTAGAACCCACGGCGACCGATGAAAGCAGGCGGCGGGGAGAAGAATCGCGGAGGGGAGAAGAATCGCCCTCCTCGCGAAAGAAAGCGACTGGGAGATTCATTTATGCCCTTCTCGCGTTATTGTACAGACTTGGGTTGGGTGGGTTGGACAGCCGGGTTGGGTCGGGTGTACTGGTTAAGTGGGTCTGATTGGTCCATTTTTTATTATTTTTTTGGATGACGTGTCAAGCTGACTGGACTTAATTGACGGTTTTTTGGATGGAATTGGACGAAATTGCCGTTTTGGTATTAGTCCAAAGGTGTGTGACTGGATCGTGCAAAAATGAAATTTAGTGACCGTTTTGTACTAAGTGAATAGTTGTGTGACCGTTTATGCTAATTACCCGTTATCTTTCTTCCATGCTGACGGCCTCGGAGAACCTAAACAATGCACGGGGTAGGCCGCTACAGTGGCGGAGCCAGAAAATTGGCAAGAGGTGTCTTTCTTCAACAATAAAAAAATAACTATATAATAGAAAAATAAACTCTTAACAAACTAAAATATCAATAATATAATATTGAAGATTCCTACAATTACAGAATAATAGTTTGATGCATATAATGAATCACAACGAGATTTCATATTTTAAAATTATTTTAGAACGCATTCGTTGTCTTAATATCACACAAATCTTGTTCAATATAAGTCACCAACATATTGTTCATCCCGTTCCAAAAGTTGTTTTTTATATATTTCATTGATAAAAATAATTTCTCTACACTGGTTGTAAAAAGCAGAATAGGTGTCAACTTGAGAAACAAATAGACAGATTATGCTTATTTGTTTCTGTAATATTTTTTGCTAACTCATCAACCCCTTGTAAGTTTTTGAACCTATCATCGAATAGTAGATCACAAATATATGAATTCTACCAGAGAAGTATTTTTCTACTCTCGAAGAGTATATCTCCATCTAGTTTATACCAAAACCAATTTTCGTTGTATCTTTAATTTTACAGAAATTAATTACATCAATATTAGAACAAAGAACCTGCCCGGCTGAATGGTGAAGCAAGTGGCACTAATCTGATAGGTGAGTGGTTCAAAACTCTAATGAGCAATGAGTAATGACCCATATTCCTGAATTTTTTCTGCCCATCCAAGGGAGCTGCAGGCACCCCCCATATGCCCGAACAGCTCCGCCATTGGGCCGCTATGATCAAATTGAAAAAAGTTAAAAAGAAATGTCAAATTTTTGGGTCATATTTACTTATTTTTTCAAATTAGTAGAACATAACGCATTTTTTCTCTCTTTCTCCTCGTTCTCTCTCATTAGTCACTATTGATCATCATCAATTCACAT